TGCCCTCGCAGCGGGCTGCCTTTAAACCGTCCGCTCGCAACCTAATTTTAGGTGCCACCTGCTGACCGGTGCTTGATTTCAAAGCTGAATTAAGCTCCGAACTCGGAACGCGTCAGCCGAAATCACCTTGTTTTACGTGGGTTCCGATGGTGATGGTTTCCCTCGCAAAGGTGTACCTTTTTTTCCCCTAAATGATTCGGCGTTACGGTGTTTCTCTTCCTAATGAGAGGGGCGGCCGCCTGTCGCTTAGCTCAGGTACAAAAGATCGGCCTTCCTGCCTCTGACTGTTCGCTTCGCTTTCTGGTTCCAGCAGCGATGCAGTTTGCTCTGTTCTTGCCCCCCGTGCTGTGGGAGACGGGCAAAACCGGTCCCATTTTGAGAGCCTCGTCCCCCCCGCACACCTTGCGCCAAGGCCTTGTGGGTAGGCTGGTTGCTTCTATCTCAGATAGCTAAAGATGTTTTTAAAGTTTCTTGTATCTTTTCCAAAGCATTGGGAGGAAAAAAAAAAAAATAACAGCAAGTTGTATTTTCCTGCTCTGTGAAGATCAGTTCTGCGCTTATCCCTGCTGCCTCATTTTCAGTTTGTGAAAACGGTCAGTTTTCTATTAAATATTTTTCCCCAAATCCTGTGGGAGATATGTCACATACTGAGTTTAAACAGTTTTCAATGTCGTATCTAGTGCCAGTTCCTGCAGCGTTCGATCACAGCTCTAGCCAATGGACCTTAACTACAGCTACTGCCTTAAACTATTAAAATACAAAAACTAGAGCTGGTTTCTTATAGATGTTATTACTTGTGTTTCTTTCATTTAGTTTATACGACAGATTAAGTTTCTTTGTAACTATAGTCTCAAGTATAGCATAAAATGCACCTTTTGGTTTGGAATGCATGTATTACCTGTTTTGTCGTAGGTATATATTATCATTCAATGAACAAAGGTTCTCAGTTTTGATTGTTACCTGTTTGCTTGTTAATTTGCAAGCTATTGAAAACTTGCGGATGACTTTGTTGGAACTTGGTATGATCTCCTTAATCTTCTTTTGTTCTCACTTCTTTGCAGTGGCCTTAGTTAATATATACAGCCCTAAGCCTTGAACGCAAGTGTTACAGCCAGTTGCGCTAAGCAGAATTAGAACAACAGGAAAGCCTTACCCAATGGGAGGATTATTCATTGGGCGTTCAGAGACAAAGTCCACGCTCTTTGAATTTTTCTGTGTCTGCGTGTATACTGTGAAACAGACCTATGGCAGAAGTACAGCCCTTAACATCTCGGCAGCTTTTTGCTCATCGGGTACTGTGAGGCTGAAGATCACTTACTCTTTACTCTCTGTAATATTTACCTTGTAACTTAAATTCCTGTGGGACTTAAGTTCTCATCAGGCTTTAGTCATGCTGTAGCTTTAGACGCAGTGTCAGGTGTCCTATTGCATTACTCCTACTAACTTTGGCGATCAAGATAACACTTAACTTGTTTGGCTTTTTCCTCTCTGAGATGAAGCCTTCTATGTGAAGTTTTTTTAAGTCTGTGGGTTTTGATTTCGCTTCTTTCTTATGAAGGAATGAAAATTCTTATGCAGGAATTTTCTTATCTCAGTTTATAGCTCGTCAGTGGAAGCATCCCTGAATTATTTCTTCTCTTCTGCATAATTTTAAAATTGGTCATTTCTGAGATCAGTAATTAAGTCTTGATGTTCTGTCTTAGAGTCCTCTGTCAATGCTAGCTGCATGGCCTGGATGGCAGGGTCTTTGAGACAGGGTAGCATGATGATGTTTACAGAAACACAGAATAGTTGAGATTGGAAGGAACCTCTGGAGATTATCTCCATCTGACCAGAGCAGCGGCAACTAGAGCAGGTTGATCAGGACCTTGTCCAGTTAGGTTTTGAATATATCCAAGGATGGAGGCTCCGCAACCTCTCCGGGCAGCCTGTTCCAGAGTGTGGTCACTTTTACAATTAAAAAAAAAACTTTTTTTTTTTTCCTCTTATGTTTATACACTGAATTTCCTGTATTTCATTTTTTTTCCAATTGCTTCTTGTCCTTTCCCTGGGCACCACTGAGAAAAGTCTGGCTCAGTCGTCTTTGCTTCCTCCCATCCAGTATTTATACATGTTGGTAAGATCCTTCCAAGCCTCTCTTCTCCAGGCTAAACAATTCCAGCACCCTCAGCCTCTCATTGTACGCAGCAATCTCTCATTCCTTAATTTTCACAGCCCTTCTCTGTGCTTGTTCCAATAGACCCACATCTGTCATACTTTGGAGCCCAGAACTGGGCACTCCAGATGTGGTTTCACCAGTGCTGAGTGGAAGGGAGCAATCACCTCCCTTGACCTGCTGACAACATTCTTCCTAACATGCCTTTTTGCTTACACTGGGGGGGAAAACCCAAAACAACAGAACTTCTAAGGGTCATCTCCTTGAGCCAGTGCTTGACATCAACTCCTCCTTGTCCCAGGGTGGTGCTTTCAAAGTTAGAGTATGCAATAACATTTGGATGTGGCCATTTTGGCTCACAGGATGCTAAAACTGTGCTGGTGAAGGTAATTTCTGCATGGGAAATGCATGTAGTTTGCAATGCCAATGGACAATACATGAATCTGGAAGTGCGTTTAAGTAAATGTCAGAAGCCCTTCAGTCAACCCAGCCTTTTCATTTTTAAGGAGGGAAAATGATTTAGTACATCAAACCACTTGCTTATTGTAGTTCCCTTTTCTGAGTGCGCTTTGTGAAAGCCACGTTGCTGACTTAGAATTCCTGTTTCAGCTGATCTCTCAACTTTTTTCCTCATTTCCTCAAAACGCTACAAGTCAGGCATTTTGTTACCAGCTGGTTTGACTCGCCATACCTGCCTCCCTAATGTGTGACTCGTTAGATCAGTCATTTAAAGTTTTATTTTTGGAAATTTCTGCCCAGGAACGTTAGGATACTGTTGGTTTGTTCACAAATTGAAGACCGACTCAGTTTTTTCTCCCGTCTCTTACCATTCAGCATGTATGGGCTGTATTGTCACAGCTGATAAGTTATCTAAAACCTCAATTTTTATTGCAGTTAACTTATAACTAATCATCCAGGTCCTATGCACATTTTTCCCATCTGTTAGGTAATCATCAGAAGTACGCAATGAGATTCTCGTGCTCTCCTCTATCCCTCGGTCACTTTTGCCACTTAGCCTATTCCTAGTTCTGCAGTCAAATTCTTGAAAATATTGGTGAATGTCTGATCACAGAAGCTGCTGTGGACTTACTGTATTCATTTATGTTAAACCATGCAGGTTTTGTCATTATGATTCCAAGTTGGTTAAGTCTTCCATTTTTTAAACTTACCAATGCAAGCTAACCTGACAACAATTTTAAATGGCTAGTTATGCCTGCATAGAATTGCATTGCTTTAATTAAGTAACTAAACACAGGCTTAGATAAGTATGTACTGGTAATGTCTTGTTAATAGGCAAGGCCTTAATTGAAGCTTTTATAATTGTTGTTTACAGAGTCTGTCATTCATCACTGTCAAAGAGTAATTAAAATTGGCATAGATATCCTCATCGGTACACGTATCTTCCTGACAGTTGTTTTGTTTTTCAGTATATAATATTGCCTATTTTCTGAGGGAGGGAGAAGGCACAACCTTTTCAAGTCCCTAACCAGGCTGATTTTCAAAGATTTTTATGTAGAGAATGATGGTTTAAGAGAATTGCAGAGTTTACTCCTGCCTGAGAGAAAAATTAATTTGCTTGTGCTTTCATTTCTTAACTGGAGTTGATGTGTGTTTCATTCCTTGTGTATGAGACCTCTCTTTGCCAGCAGTATAAGCCTTTATTGACAGACTGTACTGTTTCAGGAAGTATCATTGCACTGAAAAAAGAGGTTGTCCCCTCTTTGAGCATCAACTGGGTTATGCATTTAGGGAATATCAGCTTTAGAGAGTCTTGGGTGCTTTTTATTTTTTCTCCTCCTGTGGCTTTTTTTTTTTTTCCCCGCTCTTGTCACCTTTCCTCTTATTACTCCTCTAGCTCTGAAGTAGACTTTTTGCATATGCTGTTCCTATGCCTGTGGAGCATATTGTCATAGCCAAATACAACACCTTTAAGGAAAAACAGGGCACCCAACCTCTGGTAAGATAAACACCCTGTGTATATATGCAAATTGTTACACAAATCCAAGATAAGAGTCTTCTATTTTCTTTTTTCTTTTTTTTTTGTTGTTTTTAAATAGTTTTATCTTGAGAAAGTCCTGCCTCTTGGGTCTCCCCAGTAGGTTAGCGGCAACAGGGATTTCTGAGTCTAACTTCATACTCATTCCTCTAAATATTTCCTCAAAATATGTACATCTTAAAATCCATTATTTTTTATTTATTTCCAGTGGGATTGAGGGGAGGAAAATGGTTTTGTACATGTTTTAGTTTTTATTATTTTTGTAGGTGCTGGAGAGAACCTGGAGAACACGATGGCAGCCTTTCACCAGTGAGTACAAATGGAACCAATAATGCCTAAATCAGCAGTGTTCTCATTGTCTTTAGTGAGTGAAGCAATCAAGAAAGATAGGACTTCCATCAGCTGTTTGGGGTACAGTGTCCTATTGCTGAAAGTCATCTCTCCTTCGGATGGCTTCTGTGGATTGCTAAACATTACTACAATTTCAACAAGAAGGAATTGGGATACCACAAACTATGATTTGTACGCAATAACGTGGTAGGCTGGCAGTTGGAAATAAAATTCCTGAGGCCTGATTCCTCCTGTGCTAGTTAATAAAACATGAAACAATACTGCTTCCATGTTTAACGGTGATTGCTTTCATCAATTTCTCACTATAAAGCTGGGTTTTGTAGCTAATATCACACGCTGTTTTTTCTAGATACGTTGATGTTTCTCAACAGGTATTTCAGATCATAGCCTGTACCAATATGCTAATTAGCATACAAGGCTGGATTTTGGGAAGTCCAAATCTGTTGACTGCTATTACGGCTGTAAGCAATTCTCTTAGATATTCCAGTTTCATGGCATTCAGTTCCCTCCTCTATGTATAGCACATTAATAATTTGTATCTTAGAATTATTGTGACTGAAATCCTAATGTTAACTAACTTCTAATATACCATCTGTAAAGCTATTAAAAACGTTTGTGTTATGTTTTTTCCCCTTCATACACACACTTCATTCGCCCAATGTGTCAAAGCCTCTTATCTAGGGGTTTAAAATGGAGTTGGTACTGGAAAGCCTTGTAAGCCTCCAGCATTTAAGTAGTGGATTCTAACAAGGTCCTTAAAGGCATCTGAAAAAGAAGCCTATCTAAAACTCCAGCTGCCAATGAGCAGTGACCAAATTATGTAGGCTTCTCTTTGTTATGGTTATTCTTTTTTAATTTGCTTTGTGCTAAGTAGCCTCATCAGTTTGCACATTCCCTTGCAGACTGAGGAGTGCCAGCTTTCCCAACCAAACAGTGCTATTGAAAGTACTGCACTATTTTCTATCTCCATGGAAGCTTAGCATAGTTTCGTGGTTTTTTTTTTTCCTGTTGGCCTGCCTTTTTTCAAGTCTGCTACCACAGTTTCTGGGAAGTGCTGCTTTTTTTTTAACCATTTCTTAATTTTCATTCAGTATCATACTGGGTTTATATGTATAGGGCTCTTACAAAGAAAGTTATACCGTAACCTATTTTTATTTCCTTCCCAGAAGTAAGTTGTAATATTTAAGAATAAGGACTGTGCTAGAAGTCAAATAATGTTTTGTGATAATACGGACATTTGTCTGACTCTCTTCTGACCATTTTAATTATTTTATGACTATAGTGTAACAAATGCATTGAGGTCCACTTTCTGAACCCATCACAACTGCCAAAAGCAAAGTTTGGTTACTCGTTTGGAATTGTCTTGGCTGATAAAGGCATGTTACTTCTGCAGAAAGCAGAGTCAGAGCGATTACTTTGCATTAGGCAGTAGAAAGTGTTCTGGCTTCCTCTGTGGAGGGGTAAAGGCTCTGTCCTTCCCATCCACTCATTCCCATCTCCACTGGTAAGCTGGAAAAAGGAACTGGGTAGAAAACTGGTGATCTGCATGGTGAAAAATCAGCTGGATTGGCTCAGCTGGCTGATATGAACCAATCAATTTATAATCCATCGATTTTACACGAAGCCAAATAGGGCGTGCCTGCAAGAGCTGTTTCTGCAGGTTTGGACAAGCAAGCATGTTTGACCATTGATGTAGTTGAATTCAGAAGAGAATGCTTGTCTGCCATGTAAGACTTCCCCCCCTTGTTTCTGCTTTGTTAACACTAACCGAAGTATTGCAAGCAAATAGTTTTATTTCTGCTATTCACACTTTAACAGTGATTGGAGAATATTTAATACTGTTGCATGATAATGAAGAAATTATTCTAATAATATATAAACAAAGCGTGGGGCGGGGGGAGGCCTTATTGGTAATTTCAAGTTCTATACTAGCTTAACTTACAAATATTCTAGAAAGCAATTACAAGCTTTTTGTACCAAAGACATGATTTTTTTGCTTGCATGGTAAAATACCTAATAGATTTTTGGGGCTGTAATCATGTTATACCGTATTTAAATGCTTCTGTGGTGGGTTTAGATTTTAAAATAATTTATTTTAAGCTAAAAGAGACACTTGCAGTGTCTTAAAGTATTTGGGATCTGGCATAAAAGATGTCACAAGAATAACTTTAGTTACAAGTTTAATTGTCCCTAATATGGCCATGTACTTTAGCACTGTCTTGACAGGAAGCTGCTAAGTAAACTTTCCAGATATTTTTCTCATTCTATTTCCTTTTCTTTTATGAACATACTTGGTTTAGAGAGAAAGCTTTAAACACTGTAGTCACAGTAATAAAAGTACGTGGTCAACTTAGTATTTATAAACCCTATACGTTGTGCTACATTAGGCCTTGCCTAATGGAATTTAATTTCCAAGGTAAGGCTTTTCTTACGTATTTCCTGGTATGCCCTTTACTTGACAACAGTTGGAGTTAAACACAAGCAAAGAGCTCTGTCATCCTAATTTGCAAATGTGAGTCTGCTTCGCAACTTGAGTTCTGGAGCAGTTGGATCTGAATCCAACATATTCTTCTGAATCTGGAGAACGTCTGCAGTCTTCTCTGGAGCCACGTAGATCTGATATGTTATTGCAGAACAAACTGATTTCCAGCTGAAAAAACGCAGCACTTTAAGGAAGCTTATTTAGCAGCAAGCTGCTAGTAAGAGCCTGGCAAATTCTCAAATTTGTTAACAAGGCAAGTTGTTGTTCTCCTTTTTCCATGCAGCATCAGTCCTGAATTTCTTAAGCAGTAATCTTTCTAATAAATTTTGCTGGTTAAATGATAATACGTGGTACTAGATGGGAACGCCTTCTACAAATTTGTCAAATCTCCTGCAGCAGATTTGGAGATGCATTTCCTCGGGAGGAAAAATTACACAGAACAGGCTGTGCATCTTCCATGTGTAATAGGATTTTGTTCCTCTCCTAATTCTTAATTAGTGTCACTGGAAAATAGTTAACAAATTTGTTTTAATTTGACAACCCCCCTCTTGATCATTATCCCAGCTGGACCAGAAATTGTGTTAAACACTTATGGGAGTATGTTCTAATTTGTTTTGTTTTGTTACCGCATTTGTGAATGTTCATGGCATGCCTGTACTTCAGCAGTCAGTAAAGCCCTTTTCTTAAGGAAAAGGCTGTTACTGAAGTCGCGGAGCTTTGGGTGTGGTATAGACTGTACTCACAGATGTTATACGTGTGTTTGTAGGTGGGTAGAGAGAACAGGCCAGTGTTTTGCAGGAAGTGTTCAGACTTCAGGCCGGGACTTCCAGCTGTCTGCTGGAGTGATAACCTTCTGAGTCTGCTTTCTAATGAAATGAGCAATTCACTTCTCGTTGGAATAAAGCTTAGTTTTTCTGTTCTGGTGTGAGGTTTCCTGTACTTACTTTTCATCGGTATTATTACTGCTTTCTGCTTTCTTCAGTCCTCCTATGAGCTAAGCTTCTATAGAGTGGATTTGGGATTGGATTAGAACTTTTCAAAGCAGCGGATCGGAACAGGAATAGCTATTTTTCTTTGAAAAATATGACTGGGTGTTTTTGAGTGGGGGTTATTTCAAATAATTATTATTTTAATGAAAGAGTTTTAAATTTTTTTAAATGTAGTTTTGCTAGCCAAAAGCCTGAAAGCACCATTGCTAATTTCCTGATCCATCCATTCCTGATTAACTTAAATGAAGTAAAAAAAGGCTTTCACATCCCTGTCGTTTATACTTAGCACAAAATCGATTACTTTTTTTAAAAAGAGCTTGCTTCTTCCAGTGGCAAATGTGTTGATACTAATAAGCATCACACTGACTGAAACAATACTTTAGAAGTAGGTTTCTCAATACTGACGTGGTAGGCTGCAATCGATAGGTGTGCTACTTGATGGTCTACAGAAGACGGAGCCTAAGCTCCCACGTTCAAATCCCATCTCTGGTTCATGATACATTGTTTATTCTTGCATCACCTTTCCCACTGCAGCAGAGTTATTTGCTTCTTGCTTTGCAGCAAGATTGTGAGGATTCATTGCATCATAAAGCATCTAAAGTACCTCCGCTAGGATCAGTTTAATTGAATAACATGTATGTGTTAGGTGTGGACCTGTATGAAATACATGTGTGGTTCAAGGCAGACTTCTTTGCTTCCAGTGCGGTTAATATAGGAACAGACATGTTGGAGCTAGATTGTCACCTGACGAAAGATGAGCAAGTGGTTGTGTCCCATGATGAGAACCTGAAGAGATCAACAGGAGTTGATGTCAACATATCTGACCTCAAATACTCTGTGAGTTGAAGAAAAAATGTTTGTGCTAGATGATGTTTAAAAATATGTTTGTAGAATGGCTGGGGTGGGCAGGAAGGTTGTGTGCATGTGTGTGTATGTCTGGTATCCAAAATCTAAGGAGGGGATTCTTCTTGTCTTACTAAAAAAAAAAAAAAGTTAACTAAGCTTCCTGTGTAGTCAAGGGAGAAACCCCAACACATTTCCAGAGGGTGATTAACACTGTCCAATAGTAGGTTGGATGACTAGCTTTCTGGAGGTGGCCTGTTTTGCCATACTGATGACAAAGGAAGCTTAGTCAACAAGCTCCTTCTCGTATGATCAGCTTTTTCATGGGAAAACCGGTAGATGAATCCCACCTTCATTGACAGTTTTAAAAGCCTGCTTTACAGAACTGTCTTTCCATGTGATATTTAAGTGGAGTCCTCAGAATTTTCAGATGGGCATCTAGAAACATTTTGCCTTACTCAGCTACAGGTAACACAAGTCTAAGAATGCCAAATAATTAAATTAAGAATGAACACAGTGCTTCTAAATCACTTTTGGGGCAAGAAAATTTTTAAATATGATTTTTGTCTTTAATGATAACTTATATGACTTATGAATTACAATTTTTTTGTCTTTTTTGAGAAAAGTCATGATTATATCCCTGCATTTGATTTAGAGTTCCATTTCCCTTTATTTTTAAGGAACTTCCACCATATCTCCGCAAGTTGGATGTCACATTTCAGAAAGGTAAGTTTTTGTCTCTTGCTGTTTCAATTTACAGTACCACTAACTCATTTTCCATTATTATGGTGTGGCAATTTCTTATATTGGCAAAGGGAGTAGAAAAGCAGATTTGCTTCTATCAGTATTTGGATAAGAGAAGTTTTAAAAGGAAAATATAATCCTAGCTTTAGAAACCAAGATTTTTTTTTTTTCATACCAGCTGGCAGTGATTAAGTTTAAGATGTAAGATATCTTTTTCAAGTAAACATTTCAATTGTTTGCTTGTCTACTTCTTGCAAGTGCTTTCCAGTTCCCTTGTGAGATCTTCAGAGGCTGCTGATTGGAAATTTTTTGTTCCGAAAAGCAAAGAGAAGGCAGAAGAGTGTTTCTTTACAATTCAAATGCCTTTATGCTGGTGCACTCTGAGCTTGAAGTACCACGAGATGTCACATAATACAGGCTTTTTCAGAAGGGTGAACGGAAAGAGTAGTAGTTACTGTACGTTTGACCTAAAGTTCGGTACCAGCATTGCTGCAAGAGAGGAAAACCTATAAAAAGGCTAACCGGTTTTCTTTTGAAAACTGTGGTTCGTGGGACTGTGATTTGAATAAAGCGTAAAGGCTAAAATTGAGAGTGCTTCCACCTAGAAAAGGTAGGAACCTCTGGTAGAAAGGGCTACCAGAGATGATATCAGATGTGTTTGCTTGCTTGAGGGGCTTTGTGACTATCTTGTGTAGCCTTTCCATATTTGAATTGCCTAGCAAGCAAATTTGGTGTGAAACATTTCTGTTCAGAATTGCAAAATACTTAAAATGCACCAAGATGAGATCCACGACGTGTTATTTTCACACGTATATATCTTTTGTTTATTTACAGTAATACAAATTGATGGCTAGAGCCTTCAGTTAATTCCCTAGAGCCGCAAGCAGTTTCAGACAATAAAATTTGGGGGGGTTTGCCTTCTGTTCCCTTTACTCATTATGCTTCTCCAGTAAATTTTCATAGAAGGAAAAGTTTTTCTCATTTGGTCTTGTTTCACATTAATCTGATTGCATTTGGTACGTGGTAACTGAGCCCATGTTTGCTATTTCAGGATTTTAACGATGCCTGCACTCCTACTGTTGCTAAATAATGACTGAATTTGATGAAGTTCAAACCTAAACGTGCAATATGCTCAGGGCATTTTCATTATGGAAGTGAGCTTGTCCTAATTAGTTACAGCTATCCAAGTGAAGTAATTTTTTTTTTTTTTAGCCTAAAAGTGTGCTAATTCTAGGAACTATATTTTAAAAAAAAAAAACTTTAAGATAACAAGTGCTCTGACATCTCAGCTTTTATCTGTGGTGTATTAAAAATGGTCGCAGCAGTGACAACTTTCTTGTTTCCCCAGAGTGTCAGTGCGAGGGAGAGGACAACCGTATTCCACTCCTGAAAGAGGTGTTTGAGGCATTTCCAGAAACTCCTGTCAACATTGACATCAAAGTGAACAACAATGTGTTGATCAAAAAGGTACATGAAAATCTATATTGAACTGAGATTGAATGTCATGTAATGATGTTGAAGTTCCAGAAGAAAAGTTTCTTGGAGTTGCTAGCGGTCTGTGACACTAAACTCTGTGTTCTTGGACTGCTTCATCCTTCACATTAGATCTTGCTCCATGTATGAGGTAATACAGAAAACACAGAAATTATCTTGCACAAGATATTCAGCAAACAGCTCTCTGCTGACCCTTTATCTTGACATGAAACTGATGCTACGCTGCTAGACACGTTTGGTTTGTGCTTCGTATGAAGGGTTGTCTTACAGACTGTTGCCTACCAAAGCATTGTAAAAACATGATGTCAGTGTAAAGATAAGTGTTCATGACAGAAAAGGAAATCTGCTTTCTATCAGATACTATTTTGCCATCTTGTTTTCTTAAATTTCTAGGGGGTTTTTTTGTAGGTATAATGGTCTGTCTTTACCTGTTGACCGGAACACCTGTTTCTTTCCAGTCAAAGCAGCACAGTCATCTTAAGACGGGAGAGAGTACAGAAGAACTATCTTTTCTGTAATGACTTATGTAGTTGAAAAGTAACAAGTAGAGTTTCAGTTAAATAATTCTGCACATAATTTTCAATGAATGCATGTTGAGGTTCTGCTTTTTGTGTATTGCAGGTTTCAGAGCTGGTGATTCAGTATAAGCGAGAGCATTTGACGGTATGGGGGAATGCCAATTACGAGGTTGTATCAAAGTGTCTTAAGGAGGTAAGAATGGGTCCAGCTAAGCTTCGTTCCTGCCTGCTTGTTACTGTGTGGTGACAAAATGTACAGAAAAGCACCTTGTAAATCAAGATCTGGCCAGCTATGCCAGACTTTCAGATGTGATGGGAAATTTTGCACTTAGATTATATTCTGCTTACTACACTGTTACAATAAATCAAGCAGAGTTAACACCCATATACTCTGCGATAAAATACTTGAGGAGTTAAGTTTAATCATGTTCTATTCTTGTTCTATAAAATATAGGGTGTTATGATTTTATGCCAGGAACTCTTAGAGCCTGTTTTGCGCATCATTCATCTGGTACAAAAGCAATTTTTCTAAGGATTGCTTATTGTGTGGTTTTTTTTATGAAAATAATGGATGTGACCACTGGTTGACACACAGTTACGTTGGTATAAAGCTGTTTTACAGCTATAGATTCTTTTCCTTTTTGTGCTGAGGAATTGTCCAATTTAGAATGAAATTAAAATTGTGCTTAGTCCGAGGGAGTTACGCACCTGAGTGAAACTGATCTAGCTGAAAGTACAGATATTGTTCTGATTTATCTGTGCCAGACAACACACCATTTCCTACCTGAACAGCAGTTACACTTGTTCATTTTCATAGCACCAGTGCCCAAACATTTTGGTTCATAAACCAGCATCTTTAAAAATGTGTTGTGAAGTGAGTTGATGTGATACCAAACTGTAACAAGTCCTGCGTTAAAAGCACAGCTTGTTCTTTGCAGTAAAGCTGGTCTAAGACAAAATGCTGCATAGTGCCATGCAGTCTGGAAAGATGATGAAGGCAAGTTATAAAACCAGCACTGTGACCAGTGAAACTTTACCTTTTCAGCTCCCAATGCCCCTTCAAATTGTGTAAAACTTTTGCTTGGGTTACAAGCTACCAGAAAGAGTAATTTAAATCAGTGGCAAGCATGTCATAAGCAGTTGGCAGCCTAATCTTTAGGTGCAAGTGCTAAACATGCATTGATGAGTAAGTTTAATTGCGACAGTCTCAACCATCTACTGAGATAATTTAGAATCTTTCTTTCCCGGTTCCTGCAGAATGCTGACATTCCCATCATCTTCTGTTTGCAACGTGTCCTCCTGCTTCTTGGCCTGTTCTACACTGGTCTGCTGCCATTCATTCCTTTCAAGGAAGAATTCTTGGAAATTCCAATGCCTTCAATCATCCTCAAGTGAGTTATGAGTCCGTTGGTGGGTGCTGCACTGAAATGATAGTAAAACAAGTGAATGATAATGCCAGCTTGAGCATTGGTTTAGTCAGTGTCCTCGGGCTGAGGATACTGTTTTGTTAGTTTAGGCACTTTTGTATACTCCTAAGAGAAAGCTATGCAAATCTTCTGCTCCTCTGTATTTAAGCTGTCTCTAGCCAGCTCCGAGTTACTCAGTTGTTACTGTGGGGTGCCTGTGTATATCGGTGTTTCCTGTTGACAGCATCTCCTGTAAATACCGCCTTCGTGCAGCTGCCTTTACAATGCAGCTTGTGCTAATGCTGTCTAGACAGTAATATGTAGCAGTGCTGTACAAACAACTAATTATTGCGCTTTTCTCCCTCTTTCTTGAGAACAAATTAGCCTGAATAAGGCCCAGAGGCAAGTCAGTAGTAGGGTGGATATGAGCTTTCACATGCTCTTTGTTTCTCTTACTTTACTCCAGATGCTGCTGAATACCCATCTCTGCTGCTTCTCTTAAATGTAGCACATTTCTGTTGGGTAACCCAGTTCTAAGTCACTGTCTTAGACAGTGAAATTACTGCACTAATTGAGAAACTGCAAGATTAATTCTTCATGTTCCTTTTGCAGGAACATCTCCAATAATATTTTAATCTGTGCTCTGGTAATTTTTTGTTTCCTCTTCCTCAACAGGCTGAAAGAACCACAGAAGATGACAAGAAGCCAGAAATTTATTATCTGGCTAGCTGACGCGTAAGATTTTCATCTTATTAAATTTTTACTTATATTTTGTCTATGTATTAACAGTTGGCTCAAGCAACTAAGATTAGCTATTGCTATAGCTACTTATTATGTTGTAATTTTTTTCAGTTTCTTCTAGCTTTTTTCTCAGTGCAGCATAAATCATATTCAAATCTTATGTAGGTGTTCCTGTATACTTTATTTTTCATACGCTGAAACGTATACTGAGGTGCAGTAACAGTGGTCATTATTCCAATTCAGTCTTTTTAGTTTCTGTCATTAAGTGTGCTCAGTTAATCAGCATGCAAGTAGATTCAGAACATGGCTTTCACATTTCATGGGATTGTGACTGTTTCATAATGTTGTCAGAGGAGATGCTGTTTGGCTTACACGGAATGCTTTGCATTTTAAGAATATCTGTGCTTCAGAGGCAACTTAGTCCTTTGATTTCAGTGGTTGAATGTGATTGCAGCATCTTCTGGCTCTTGCTTCTGTGTCTGACATCTGCTAGTTTGGTTTCCTTTCTCGAGTGGCCAGTAGAGTGTTCATGTCTTCTGGTGTGAAGGATAAAATCTCTTCTGAAAGCAAAAGGATCGATTCATCGGACATGGTACAGGATACCTGTGTGATGAAGGAGGAATCTGCTGGATTTGATCTTCAGAAGAGTTGGTGCAAGTATCCATAGCTAATGCAAATTTCTGAGCATCTGTGTTAACCGGTCTTGAGTTGCTTGAGCTAAAGGTTGTCTATAATTAGGTTTCTAATCACTTTCTTGTGGAAGACATTCAGTCTAAATGTTCTATGGAAAATTTATTACAGAACATGAACAGATATTAAAAATTTCATATATACCTCAAGTTTTAAAATAATATCCTTCTCCTCTCTGCAGATTGCTAATGCGGAAAGCACTTTTTGACCACCTCACTGCTCGGGGCATTCAGGTACAGTGTGGCAAAGCTAAAGGAAATGTGCTTTTAACCTAGTGAGAATTTGAACCAGCCAGATATGGCCTTAAGATGGGTTCATGTTCTTCCCAACATGTTCTGTTGCGTTGCTAGGATTTTCAGTTGCTTTTTGGTTCCTGAGCAATAGCTTATGCTGTTAGTTTGCAGTCCTGTAGTTGCAAAGGAAGAACTGTATGCTTGGAAAAAGACTCTTTAAATCCCTTTAAGATTACTTTTTTTCCCCCACTTCAAACTTAAGCCTACAAAATCTGCTAAACCGCTTACCTATTTTGGGCTTTTCACAAAATAATATTTTGACTTCTGGAAATATCTGAAGTCTCAGGTAACGAAATGGAGTTGGAGTCATCACTAGAAAATGCCCCCCTTTTGGAGGGTGAGGGGGAAGAAGTGGGATATGTTTGCGTGCATGTCTCTGGCATCACAGTGGAATCATGTTATCATTTTAAATACATGCGGCATCATCTCTCTCGCATGAAACAATTTAGGTCAAAAGTCACCTTTTTAAAAATTTGAGTATTTCCTGCAATAATTTGTTTCTCTATCCCATCTCATAGGTGTATATTTGGGTATTGAATGAAGAACAAGAATACAAGAGGGCATTTGATCTGGGAGCAACTGGAGTGATGACAGACTATCCAACAAAACTTAAGGAGTTTTTACACAATTATCCAGTGTAAAGGAAGAAAACCAAGGAAGTTCTTGCAGAATAGGTTGTGAGCCAAGGATTTTCTTCATTTAAAAAAAAAAAAAATTGAGCAGCATACAGAGATCGTTTTGTTTGAACGATGTAATGGGGTGATCTATTACCTTGTTGTCAAGTTGCTACCTAATGTAAAGGTTGTCTATTTATTTTAAAATTGTAATTACATAGTTTACATTTGTAAATAGCTCATTTAGCAACAGTGCACCTCACAAATAGTGATGACTAGGGAGAAGGTTGCTGGATAGGATACCTGTAGATAATCGTTATTTTACCTGTCACAAGTGTTCCTAAGCAGATGTCAAGACATGTCAGTTATTCCAGTAACATTCTAGTGGGCAGAAACAAAAGAATTTCTGAAAGCGTACCCTGTGTGTCTGCATTTCTTGTGCTGCTTTTAGTTTTCAGATAACTTGTAGGGCAAAAAAGAAAAACAACGCACAGGAGAAATAGCAGAATCTGTGGCTAGTCAGGTAGTTTAGCCTGTGAAGTGTAGTCAGTAAAGGCGGTCACTTTTTTACCAACATTAACTCACTTGGTCAGTATAGATTTACTCAATTATTCTTACTGATAAGAATGTTGAGCTTGAGCTGCAACTGTATTTAGACCCCTTTCTGATGTGATGGTAACACTGTGACTTACTGGTCAAGGTCTAAATACAGCACTTAAGCCAGGTTCTGGGTTTGGCACTGAGTTCCCCTGCAAGGGTCTAGGTTTGCCCCTGGTTCTGACCTGCCTGTCAGGCTACCATGGCACAGCAGTAGCTAGCTTTCCAGAAAGGAACATTGCACTTACTACAGATTACACTTACTTTGACATAGTCTTTTCACAAAGGAAGCCAATGTTTTAGAATTCTTTTGCACATTTGTAGTTCTAACATCTGTTGGCTGGATGAATGGGAAGTTGTTTGTTTTTAGGGTGAGGGACCAAAGAAGACTTTAAGTTTGGTCAGGAGTTTCAGGAACAAATTAAGATGTTCCTGTTAAATGAATTCATCCAAAGCAGATTTATATGCATCCTTATAAAAGGAGAAAGTGTCAATCTAGGATGTGTGAAATTTTAGTCTTTTCTCTCCACAAAAGTACATTCAATATTCATTAAGTTTATGTGCGTGGACGTGGAAGTTTACTGGCAAAAGCCAGGAAACCCCAAGTCTGATGGAATGGGGTTAGATAGGAAGGTATTTCTGGAGGCTTACATGCTGTTCTGTCATTGTGAGCAGGTGTTATATGTGTGTCAAACAAATTTGAGCCTGCAATGCCTGCGTGCTTTGGTGTTGTCATGTTAGTGGTAGGGTTTTTCAGAAAGAATTTGATTACTGTAGCCTAATTATACACGATGACATGTATAAAGCTCAGTCATGTAATCATCAGATACTGCTGGAACAAAACTACTGTTTAGTGATAGTACCTACTTCTTTAAGGAGCTTCATGTGAAAATGATGGATCTTAATAATAAATAGAGTAGCCAGACGCAAGAGTATCTGCAAGGTATACTCACTGTTATAAAAACTTTTAAAGTAAGTACATTTTTTCCCTTGCTAGCTCAGATTTGGAAGGGCTCTTGTTTTGCTCCACTGGCTGCTGTGCCATACTTGTAATCATGGAGCATCTTTGCTATGTCATTGTGTCTGTCAGCAGGCTGTCAGTGTTAGAATGTCAAGTCCATCTGGATGGATAATATTTGTTTCTGCATTATAATTCCTTTCTGAGGAACAATTCCACGTGGATGAAGTGGAAGAAACGACTGCATTTACAATTTAAGTGAATGTGTGATGATGGTGGCAAATGTGTTAATGGTGTCCTTCTAAATATTTGCCTGGTCAAGATGGCTGTAGATTCAATTTCCTCTTAATTTAATCAGGTTTGTTGCTCATTGAATGGAAGAGAGGAAAATGTAACTTCCTAACTATTCATAGGAAAAAGGATTAAATGATTTATTATGTGCTAAGCTTCTTGTTTCCCTTACAGACCAGTTATGTCTGGTCAGATACTGCTAATAATCAGTCTAGTCATACTTCTGCCTGCTTTCTAGTAGTCACAGAATAGCTATAGAATAGGCTCCATATGCAGCTCAGTAGGTACATGAAAAACTTCCACCCTTTCTGTCTTAATTTGGTTTACTAGCCAAATTTACTCGTGTAGCTCCAGATAGTTTTTATGCAGTGCGGTTTTCTTCAAATCAATTTTATTGCTATTGAATTTCCAACACGCACACCTGTATTAAGATGCAAATATAATTCTGGTTTTAGACAGTACTACGCAATAGCACTTATACGTTAAAACTTTTGGGTTTTTAGGCTAGGAAAAGCTAAGTTTTAAAATACCAGTCTTGATTTCTGGACTTGATCTCTCAAGGGGCGGGTGATGACTTAGTTTCTCTCTCAAGTTTCCCTCATCACTGCATAAATAAACAATTTGGTTTATTCTATATTGAATGACAAAACACAGCTATTGAAATGACAAACTTAATTTTTTAATTTCATTTTAATCTTTTTCCTCTTCCTGTCTAGCAGTGGTGTTGGAAACTTCAAAGATGATCAACACGTTTTTCAACCACTAGTCTTCCTACATCTGATGTAGCTTTTGACTGTGCTGTTTATACATGACCTCTACTATTAAGTCTACTACTTAATATCTGAAATTTGAATGAGTTGAGTTACATGGGAGGGAAGGGGTTCAGTGCCAGAAAAGCTGCTGAGTTTATTCAGCCACTGATTTGGGCTTTAGTACAAGAGCTAAAGTTTGATCTCTTGAGACAGATAATGTTGAATGGATGAGGCCATGAATCCAAGCACCAGTGCACAGGGCTTAGGTCATAATAACTGTTTGTAACAAAGTAGTATGGAATTGAGGTAACTGTAGAATGTTTGTTCTATCAAATCATTGGTTTGAATATTCCAGAACTTGCTGTGTGACTTTTAAACCACTTGTGCAGAAAAGCATTTGTTGAGAATTTGCACAGCTGTCCAGGAGGATGTTCAATTAATCTCTCTCTCCAAGAAGAGATTCTTTTCAGGTACTTTTAACTCTAAATATTGTTTAACACTTACTGTGTTCTCAATCCTATTGCAAAATGTTTTATGTATGAAGGATGATGTATGTATTCCATGCACTTTTAATTTGCGGAAAGTCTCGTGGACCTCTCTAGCTCCAAATCTATGAAGTGATTTTTTTTTCTTTTCTTTTCTTGTAAAGAAAGATTCATGCTCTTGAAATGTGACACATTAAAATATCTTTGCTCACAAAAGATCTAAAACTAAATACTTATTGTGAATTCCTTGCCTAAAAGGATAATTTCTAAGATTGTGATTTTATATTTATAGTGTAGTGAACAGTGAACTTTTGATGGTGATCTTTTTATGTGGATAGGGTTGCTGAAAAGAAGGGGCTATCTTACATACTCTGAACTTATTAAGAAATTTTTGGCAATGACATTTGTTTTCTCATACAGTAATCATAGTATCTGCAACTTTGTGCAGCTAAATGAAGCCTGCAGAGGACAAGCCTGCCTTCTCCATGTGCAAATGAACTTTTAAGTAAAACTTGTGAAGTCAATTCCAATTTGATTTTTCTATAATTTATTTTAAGACAGAAACAGTAGCAGATAAACTTGAGCAACGGTAGTATATAAACAGGATCAGAAGCAGTCTCCATATGCGATGCTAGAAAACAGCGTAGAGAATTCTGCTGGTTCACCAATGCAGTGTGTGCTGTTGCTTCATTGCTTCCAAACAAAGGTCTGCCTGCAGAACAGGCATCACATGCTTCAAAGCAAGCAGCTTGTCTGTGCACCTGAAAATTCAAATCATCAAAATTTAAGATCAGAGAAGAGTGGGAAGGTGTACAAGTTAGATACTAAACTCTTGAAATTTTACTACATGTTATTCAGCTTGAAGTAGACTGGTCTTGCATAATAATGGTAGGGGGAGAAACAAGGATGAAGATCCCAAGTGTCTTGACTATAACAGCATGCCAGGAGAGCCGACTGTGTGTATATGGTTTTGGCATCAGCATCCTTCAGTGTAAAGAACTGGCAAATTTTCTGTACTCGTCTAGGATTGTAGCACCTTTAACTTAAAATGGAGTCTAGTTCTGTATGGATGAAAACAGCAAGGTGAAATGAGCCAAGAAATGCTTCTTATTTTAATAACATTTTGAGAACTATTACATATCTAGTGTTTTGGATAGCCACACTCAAATAATTGTGTGAGTGTGAGAACTTTGGCCTTTTGCTTTGCGCTTCAGTGTAAAAATGGCTGTCTGCATCAGAGCTGCTTTCTAATTACTTATTTTTAGAAATTGTGATCCTTAATTCCTAAGCACAGTAATGCATGCCTAAATACCAGCTTTTTTGTTTGGGGGACATGTCTTCTGGGTTTTTTTAAGTATACTGTTTGGTGTTTATCCAGTTTAATGATTGATTCGGCCCGATTCTGGCAGTGTTTTAAGATTGTATGTGCACGTGTATAATATTACAGGTCAAGTTTTGAAAACACGGATGAAATCATCTTACATAGTCTGGTTCTAGACGTCAGCTCTGACCTATAATCGGGCTCATCAGGTTAATTACAGAATGTAGCAGTTCACAGATGTGGAGGATATCGTATCCTGTCTATGTATGTATATCATATTTGAATGGGGGAAATGAAAGCGTTCGGTTATCTGTGCATGAAAGGTGCGGTTGCAGAGGAGCTGGCCTGAGATTGAAATGAGAGTCTTCATTATAAAATGGCTTGATACGCTTTTTTTCACTTGGTTAATAATCGTAGTTTTCTATTTGGTCTCTGTTGAAATGGTAAATATCTGATAATTTAGACTTTAATTTAAAAAAAAATGACCTTACTGTGGCCTTGAAATTATCCCGAGATACCTTTCTGTAATGCCTTAAGGACACTTCTGTTCTAATTAACTCTCTCCCCCACACAGCGAGTCTTCTACCTGCTGACTTTTGTAGCAGACATGCAAAAGATTGTGATCAATGAGTTGGAGAGTATGAAAAGCCTTTGGCAGT